CCCCCCCCCCCCCCCCCCCGTGGCCAATGGTCTAACACGAGCATCGCCCAGAGCCATGTCATCGTATTACTTCATCAAGGGGGGGGGTGAGGCGTCTTACAGCTCCGGTCAATGCACCTTTCCCGTCCGCTCTTTCTTCGCCCACCGTTTTCGTGGAGATAGGCCAGCACCAGCGCCTTCCTGTCCTTGGCCCCCTCATCGAGGTTGATTCCGGCGTCGAGGGCGTAGTCCAAGGCGGTCTTCCGTCCTGACCTTCCCGCGGCCTTGTTGATCGCTAGGTCGTCCAGCCCAACCTCCTCTACGAAGTACCTTCGAAAGAAGGTGGAGCAAGGCGTAGGTATGGGGTGTGGTATCACGGTTTCGCGCGCGTAAGACACGTGTGCAGCAAACTTGACGGGCAATGACAGGGGGCTAGAGCCTGAGAGCGAGAGAGCGAGAGAGCGAGAGAGCTGCTGAGAGAGTTGAGAGAGTTGAAAGAAACGCGGTACAACCTTGTGATTGGTTGAAGATCGTACCGCATGGTCCCCTCAATACAGACACCGCTGAGACTCGGGACCCACTCACCACCTGACACACGTCGGTCTCGTCCAGCCTTTTAAAGAAAAACATTTGATGGACGATCGACGTGACGGTATCTGCTTTCGTGACCTATCTCTGTTGTCGCGGGAATGTACATGCATATCCACATAGGATCAGCGCAGACTACGGACGAGTGGATGGCAAAAAAAGTATCTTGGAGTCGACGGCAATCAGATACATCATCACCAACCAACGCAAAGCGCTCCTACAAACTCGTGTTCATTGGGCCATCACACGCGGCACAGGTGCGCGCTGTCGGTGTCGGAGATGTCCATCGGGGATCTCGCGGCCGGCGTACAGACGATCAATTTGCCCCGCCGCAGACCGCAGAACGAACCTCATCTTTGTTTGACGTACGACCCAAAGGAAAAAAAGGCAAGCACCAGGAACACCGACAGCACAAGCAACAAGGCACGCACCGGATGATGTCAAGCCTGCCGTGATGGGCGGCCCACATGAATGGCGTCTTGGGGTCACTGGTTGGCCCGGCACACCACATACCCGCCCCATGCAAAAGGAGCTCCTCCACCGTCTTGAGGTGGCCGTTGCCGCAGGCGCGCATTAGCGCCGTAACGCCGTCCGCGTCTGAACGTAAGCCAGACAGAGGCGAAAGAAAAGTGAAGGTTCTGATTAGTACATACATAGACAGGGGGAGAAAGAGCAGAAACGAGTGAAAGTTTTGAGTGCACGTGTGCACGGGGCAAAGCTGCTGTTGTTCAAACAATATACGAAATCCCCTTCGACTATGGTGCTATCTCGAACGGGTGGTCTTTCCGTGAGGAGATGTACACTTTCTAAAAAATACATCAGAGCGGAGTCGGTGCCACTTCGAACCCGGTCGAACAAGCACAAGCGGAACAGCTGGCTTGATCCTGAGATAACGGGCACTGAGGGATTCTGTGGGAATGATGCCTGTACATATAGTCGAGGTGACGACGACGAAGGAACTCTTGCCATGAGCGTATTCGCAGCGGTTGACACTGCAAGCAGTACTGATTTGTAGGCTCTAGACAAACCTGTTTCCAATCACGTGATGCTCCCTCCGTGGAGTTTGGGGTCTGGGCGACAAATTGCTTTCATGGTCGATTCAACGTGCTCTACAAGCATTGTAATAGCAACAGCACGAGGTAGGTGACTCATCGTGTTGATGCATGATCACAACCGTAGTGTACGCTGATGCCGGAATTCATCATGGAACGCCATCTGAGAAAAAAAAAAATTGAACACCGACCGTTGACCAGCGCCCATCAATCACACAGCAGGTCCCAACGCGTCAAACACTGTACAGTAGGTGTCCCGATATAGTGCTGGTATTTGTCCAGGCGATTTGACCGGCACCATACCGCACCATACCGGGCACCGGCACTATTCAGAATTGTGCCTGAATAGTGCCAAACGGCACTATTCATGGCCCGAAAATCCCTCTATAGTGCCGGCTTGGCACTATTCAGGACTGCTCGACTTCAGAGTGCAGCGCTTGCGCTTTGCGGGGCTGACAAGAGTACCAAAACGAACGGTATTTGGATCAATCGTGAGGTGGGCGACGTGGGCGGGCTTCACTGAGTTTCGTGAGGCTCTTGGACTGTCGAAAACACGGCGTTGGTTACATTAAAAGTAACTTGATTGACCAGATGGATTTGTTGCACAGCAGTTGTACTTTTACCACCTCAGCGCAAGCACTCGCTAGTGAAACGTTGCTGCTGCCTTTCAANATGGCCCGAAAATCCCTCTATAGTGCCGGCTTGGCACTATTCAGGACTGCTCGACTTCAGAGTGCAGCGCTTGCGCTTTGCGGGGCTGACAAGAGTACCAAAACGAACGGTATTTGGATCAATCGTGAGGTGGGCGACGTGGGCGGGCTTCACTGAGTTTCGTGAGGCTCTTGGACTGTCGAAAACACGGCGTTGGTTACATTAAAAGTAACTTGATTGACCAGATGGATTTGTTGCACAGCAGTTGTACTTTTACCACCTCAGCGCAAGCACTCGCTAGTGAAACGTTGCTGCTGCCTTTCAACCGTAGACTGTGCTGCCCGATAAAAGTTCACCTCGCTATGAAATTATTATGTGTTGCATTGCAAGAAGGCCGTAGCACTATTATTCTTCAGGCAACCTCAAAGGCACCCCTGACAGCGAAAGAAAGACGCTCATGCATGCACCCGGTGTACATTTGGAGGAAAAACATGGATGGATGTAGTGCTCCTTACATGAGCGCACAAAAAGATATGAAACCTAAACAAGGGGTGAAGAAGAAAACGAACTCCCCTGTTCCTTCGATAAAATGCTAGAGAGAAGACCAAGCCTTCAGAACCAAGAAAAACGACTGGCCAACCAAAAGACGTTGTCAGTCTCAGTGCGGTCAAAAACAGAAAATATTTGTTTGTCAAGGAAGTGAGAGGGTGTCATGGAGGAGGCTGAGCTGTTCTCTGGATTAAAGAAATGGAAGCAACCGAGAGAGGAGAACTACGTGACTGCCAAGGTTTACTACGTTTGAACACGCTTTTGTTCGGAGTGTTTTCTATTCACCACCACTACGACACTCTTCACTAATATCATTCCACTATTTTTCGGGCTTTCATCTCTGGATTCTGCGCCCCTGCGGCGTTTGTTGTGAGGAAGGTCATCTCGCTCGAAACTCTTGTTGTTCCCCTCAACGCCATATTTTCCTCCTGCATCATCACTGCTATCCTTGGCTATAGTTTCCGTATCCACTCTTGGTCACTACCACCATCTTATTTTTCGCTCGCCTCCCTACTGAAATCCCAGCCTGTTGGTGGAACCTAGTCGATCGGTAAACCGTGACATTTGAAGAACGCGTACCGAGAGAAACCGAGCTGTACTTGTAGCTCGAAGGGAAACCGTCTCCAAACCCTGCTGGCGTGGAAGGCTTGAGGCGAAAAAAAGGCTGTGTGTGGGGTGCGAACCGGCACTATTGAGGGGTTCGATAGTGCCTGAACCGGCACCAAAGCGGGCAGCCCTCAATAGTGCGGGTTTGGCACTATTGAGGCCTGTGTCTGTGTCAAGAAAATTTACCAGCACTATACCGGACGTTGGGACGGCACTATATCGGAACACCGACTGTTGTGTAACAGAACAGTATCACGAGTCCCGCACTTGTAGCTACGAGGCAGACTAGAGGACTCGGCCAGGTGCGTTTCTGGCAACAACAACAAACGGCGCGCACACCTGTTGTTGAGGATGTGTGATAACAGGACAAGGGTCTACACCACAGAGCTGCCGTGACAGCACGGCGTTGCGGAAAGTCTTTCAAGCCTTCAGCTGCTAGTGCAAATATATGCATCTCTACTCGGAGTTAACACACGAGAGCAAATTAACTACTCCGAGTGACAAACACAAACGGTGGGCCACCTTTGTCACTTCTTGCCTCCTTCTGCATTTATCGGCATTAGGCATTCGCGTGCGATGCGTGTGTCTTCTGACTGAATTATGCATACAGCAAAGCAGCTCCTCGAGACCCAGATTTCATCTGTTGTTCGCACGCCTTCTCCAACTGTTCGCTGAGAGGAGCAGAGACTTTCCGCCTCCCCTAAAACAAACAGTGAAAAAAAGCCTACACGGGCAGTTGCCGCACTTGCTGTCTGCTGCTGCTGCTGCTGCGCGCACGCACGCACGTCTACGCTCCGACGCCTCTCACCATCATCAACTTCGATCTTGCCAGCCTTGGCGATCTTCTTGACGGTGTTGGTGTCGCCAATGGCCGCCGCGTCGATGAATTCCAAGACTTGAGGGCTGACTTGGAGGGCGGCATTCTTCGCTCGGTCTTTCTTCCCCATGGTTGAACGTGCACTCTCCTCTCCCTCTCCCTCTCTCTCTCTCTGCTCTCCCCTCCTTCTTTTTTTGGGGGGTCTCTGCTGCTGCGGGCGTGGCGCGTTACTGAGCTCAACGGCCGCTCTGTCGCAAAAATAAGAGCGTTAAGCTGGCAGCAGGGCCGGACAGAAGGAATCGCGGAACCGGGCGGGGTCAACGCCTGGCATGGGTCGAACACGGCAAAGAAAGAGAGAATCGGAAGAAGAACGTCCTTTGTCTTTTTCACACGGGATCGTTGCGTCGCAAGCGTCCTTGCTGATTGCGCCCACGCCGACATCGCCTACTCGACTACAGAGGAGGGTCTGGAGCATGACGTCCAACGGTCTTCCAGGAGGTGGTGTACATGTAGGTCCGTCCCTACTGCTACAGCTCCAATTCCTTCTTTCATCGCGAGGCGAGGGTCAACAACGGTGGTTTTTCACACTACCCTCGTTGTGCAACGACGACGACTCTAGACTACAGTAGTTCCCCACCACAAACCGCTCGAATGATCTCTAACAAATGCCTTCACCCAGACAGCACTTTACCCCACCTGGTCCCCAATCTCCGCGCTGCAGTTGGTTTTGCTTTGCAGGGCTGCTGGCCGATGACGAGCATGACCCCGGGGGCCCGGATTGCGCACATCAACGATCAAGCCGCAACAAGTGGAACCTACGCACATATGCAGGTAATGCTAGCTGCGTGGCCCCCAATTTCCGCTCCGCCCTCGGCCTGCGCCTGATCTGTCACAGACAGCAACCACTTCCGCCATTGTTGTCTATCCCTAACTAACTCCATGGACGGCGAGTAGTGGTGTGCAGTGCCATCTTTCGTGTCTTTCGCGCCAAGGAGAGGGGAAAATAGCAAGATTAAGAGAGAAAAGAGGAAGAGAGGCGGGGACAGAGAGGCGTGCGAGGTGCGGCGCATCTTCGAAGTAGGGCTGTGTGGCATCGTATATTGTACGCTGTGATCAGCGATGATTCTCGCTGCCTTCTTCGTCGGCGTCAATGCTCTCTCTTTCGCCATGCTCGCCGAAGACAAGGCCTCGTCCAAGGGCTTGATTCCATTTCTGGGTCGAATTCCAGGTGCACCCTAGGGCATACTATGATGCTAGACTACGTGAGCTGATCAAGTTGTAGTTGCTGCGGTGGGTACGCTGTCCTGTCGTTCAACTCAACCCGAGATGCTGTTCCACTAGGGTAGGGTGGAGCAACAACGACATATAGCGGTAAACACACCAACCTAGTTGTACATAGGCTTGTAGTTGAGTGTGTGTGCTTCTTTAATAGTACCACGGTGGAGGAGACACATTGTGCTTTGTTCTGAGCGTCTGGGGAGGACACTTTTTTGTGGACTAGAGCTAATGTGAGAAACAACAACAACAACTCGCCATCCCGATGGGCAAAGAATGAGGAGTTGTCTTTCAGTAGCATTGAACGCGGTGCCCGGATGAATAACGAAGAGACGCATGGTATGTGATGAAGAGTGGACATCATGTCACGTGCATGTGTGCTTACAGCGTACTTCGTGCAATAGCATCGACCGTATTCACCGGCTGACGATTTCATAGTGGCCGGTCTTGCAGCCGGGCAAAATTCGCCCAAAGTGATTTACACGAGTCCACGTGCTCGGTCGAGGACCGCAGAAGAGATTGGAAGATTTTGTGTGCCTGTCTTGTGTGCGTGTTTGGTCGATCGGGGGCGGGAGAGATGACATGTTTTGCGGGAGTGGGTCGGTATTATCTCCCCACATCGCACGCCCACCGCACTACACGACGCTGCCGTCTACTACTACTGATTGTGCGGGTTTGACGGCACTTTCCACCACCTAGCAAGTCGAGAGCTGCATGAGAAAGATGGAACACACAGCGAGGAGGTTCCCCAAAGGGAATTCAAAATATTGTCTGCTACATAGGCCCCCCAACATTGATTCCTGAGTATTTCCGATATTCATATCTTCCCGTGTTGCGATCAACGGAAGGGCGACAGCGCGATCGAATCAAGCGAAGGGTGTGACATGAACGCCCAGGTTTTGCGAAATTGAGTGTGGCACGCAGAACGCTTCCTTTACACACTTAGCCTGAGCCCCCCCCCCCCCCCCCCCCCCCCCCCCCCCCCCCCCCCCCCCCCCCCCCCCCCCCC